TACACCCTTAACAAGTCGGCGTTCAACTGTTCTGTAAGAGCAGAATTTTCGCATACGTTTCTCTTTCGAATAAATTCAAGAATCGAGCCCCAGGAGAAGCGGCGGAAAAAAATGAATTGCATTACTTACCGGACAGACCATGTAAATCACAATGTTTCAAAAATTATTCTTAAGCTCCAAGGAGAAATCATATCTTTCACGATTTACTTTTATTGTTACAGTAACTAACAAAGGTATCTCTTTCCTCAGGTGGAAATGTTTAATGAAATACAGGCCGGTATGGTAAATCAGCAGGCGGCAAACAAGAGACCTGCAGTACTGGATGGAGTACGAAGGATGGTAATACGATATACGTATAATAATATAATACAAAATTTATAATATTTAGAGGAATTTGATTTTAATGCAAATTATTTTTGTTGGTAGATACCGGTGCCAGCACACAGGTATTCACCTTTAAAGGAAAACTGGGTGAAAATATTCACTCTTCTCACCGAGCTGAAGCTACGTATACGCTTCCATGAGAATATAATGAATGTGGAAATCAGTACTCCGCCGGAGACCCCGGACAAGTCCAGTCTCCAAAAAGCAACAGATTTCATAAAGGCGTTCCTCTGTGGATTTGAGGTGGAGGACGCTTCGATGCTGCTGGCTGGCCTGGACGACTTGTTCGTGGAGGCTTCCGAGGTGAAAGACGCCAGCCAACGGATAAAGGGACACCACCAATCTCGGACAATCAGCAGATTGGTGGGCAAGGGTGGAAGGAGAAAGCAAAGAATTGAGAAGCTGACGCGAACAAAAATTGTGCTGCAAGACACCAAGTTATTCATACTTGGTTCTTACCAAAATATACAATTGGTTCGCAACGCGATAGGCAAGTTAATCTTAGGCATCCCACCCTCCAAAGTCTACAGGCAATTGTAAAACATCGCCAGTAGACTCAGAAAACACCAAAGTAACAGTTACATAACATCAATATAAATGTAATATAACACATGCCTGTTATATTACATTTGCATTGATGTTATGTAATTGTTACTTTGGTGTTTGCTGGGGAGTATTTTCGACTATCTTTTTTGGGAACAGAATCCGCGCTGGTTGCGCCGGTGGGTGCTGGGACTGTCACTCTTGGGTGGCAGAGTCCGCACCGGTGGCACTCTTTTAAATCGAGTTTACAACGGTTACATGAATGTTCTTGAATTGCGAGATCTCAGAGTATGCATTGACATTTTGTAAAAACTTATTTCTAACATTCTGTAAAGTATAAAATGTTTTGGTTTTTTCTAATATTCTCTTGGTCTTTTATAATATAATTTGGTTTGGGCAATGTCCTTGAACACAATTAACGTTTTGCAGAATGCAGAATGTTTGAAGTATTTGAATGTTTCAAATTTCTTGTGTGATTCTGTATTTTTAAATGTATATTTTTGGTCATACTGTGACTGACATTCTGCAAAATGTTAGAAATTTGTTTTTACATTGTCCATTCTGTAAAATGTTAGAAATATGTTTTCCGCTTTAAATATTATGTATTTTCGGTAACACCGCCTGACATTTTGCAAAATGTAAGAAATTTGTTTTCACATGGTTCATTCTGCAAAATGTTTATAGAAATGTTTTCCGTTTCTTTGAATATGTGTTTTCAGTAACACTGCCTGACATTTTGCAAAATGTTAGAAATATGTTTTCATACATATGGTTCTTTTTCTTTAAAAACATATGTATTTCTTGTAATATAGCGACTGATGTTCGGCAAACTAATTTTTTCTTATGTACTTTTAGGTTATAAAGGTACATATGTTTTATGAAGTATTAATTATTATAAATACTTAATAATGTATATATAGATATTATATGTATATATATTATATTTACTTTATAATAATATATTGAAAGAGCTTTATTGAAAATTGTTATCTGTTTTCATTACACTTATCTTTTATAAACTTATCTTTTACAATTCCAAGGAATATCAAGTTCTTGAATTAATTTTAAATAAAACTAAACGAAATATATTCTCAGTGAATTTTCGTTTAGTTTTATTTAAAATTAATTCAGAGACTTGATATTCCTGGGAATTGTATTTGCTAAAATATATAAATATTATGTATAATTATTACATAACTGCAATGTAATTATTTTTGTATAACTGTTACATTGCCATAATAAAACGGATTGTAACAGGTAATATAACGTGTGCATTACATGTAACGTACACATTAGTTGTAATTTCCCACTCGTGGGATATTGCAATTATGTAACCGTTATGTAACATGTAACAAAATTGTTATACATACCCAGTGAGAAATGATTCGTCGATCGATATCAAAACGATGTCGAATCGACATCGATACCGTCAAATTGACATCGATTCGACATCGTTTCGACATCGATCGACGAATCATTTCTCACTGGGTATATCTGTGTTTGCTGGGAATTCATTTTGTTACATTTTTAATCATAACCGTTTATTAAGTACTTACCAATGAAAAGAAATATTGCCATTTTTCTTCCAGTACACACCACATAGCTTACATTGCATGACCAATTTTGCGTAATATAAATTTTACTTTGTTATTATAGGTTATAGCCAAGTTATCACGCGACCCACGCGACATAGGGTTTGTTTTCTGTTCCTGCACTGGTGAAGTAGTGCAGTAAGCTAGAATGAGAAAAAATATGCTTGTCTTACTCCAATTTGTTGCACTAGTTCACTAGTGTAGGAACAGAATAAACAAGCCTATAGAGTGCGTTCCGTTTCTCGCATGGACCGCATGGACGACAGTGCGTCATAGATATCTATGATGCGCGCATTGGCTCGTTTTAAGTTCCGTCTGGGCCGTCGAATGGTTCATACGTCTTCCGACGGAAGATAAATTTTTGATCCTGCGGGATTGCATCATCACGCGTGTGGCCTGGTTACCGGGCCATTGCATCGTTCAATTCACTACATTCCAAGCAATACCATTAAGTCTATTGGTTCGACGTGGCCGTGTCGGCTCAGTGTCTGTGAGCCGGCAGCCAATAACCAGAGAAGATTGGCTCGTTTCGTTTTTCTCATGTTCTTACCACAGTATAACCAGTATGCCCACTCTCTGGCCTAGTTTACATCGTGCACTTGAAACGCATATCAAATAGTGTATTTGAACTGATCAGCCAATGACCAAACCAATTTACTAGTTATTTACTATTTGTTACTATTTGATACGCGTATCAAGTGCACGATGTAAACTAGGTCTCTGTCGGCACCTTTGATCTGGGCCACGGTCTTGTATACAGGTCTCCCGACTGCCTCTAATTTTCGATGGTGGGGGTAGGTCGCTTTTATGTGCTTCCACCTTAGGTGAGGAAATTTTGTAGTTCTTGTAATGGCCACTAGCGTTGCAGTCTATGCTCTTTTGGTGGCGAGGGACGCTGGAGGCCGAGGGGATATGTCGAGTTTACCCATGGACCTAAGAATCTCTGGACCGAGCACGAAGTGGGAGAACGGACGAGGGGGCTGGTAAATTTGCGGTAAGGGGGGGCGAGAGTGCTCTCCTTTTCTGTCCTCTTGGTATCTCATGGTATCTCTTTCTACAAGAGGTTAGAGAGCCTCTACAAGAGGTCACTGTGACCTCTTGTAGAAAGAGATACCAAGAGGACAGAAAAGGAGAGCACTCTCGCCCCCCTTACCGCAAATTTACCAGCCCCCTTGCCGTATGCTCGGTCCAGAGATTCTTAGGTCCATGAGTTTACCGTGCATGGGACAAAGACAGACATATATCCCTCCCAGCCTCCAGCGTCCCTCGCCACCAAAAGAACATAGACTGCAACGCTAGTGGCCATTACAAAAACTACAAAATTTCCTCACTAAGCGACCTACCCCCACCATATGAGTTGCAAGCAGTGCTGCTAGATTTGGCCGGGCTATTTTAAAACAATTATTTTAATGTCCTACTCTTCTTTATTTTAAAGAGAAAAAGATAGAGAGAGAGTGTGTGTGTGTGTGTGTACACGTGCGCGCGTACTTATGTCCACAGGGGCTTGTGTGTTTCTAATACGTTACTGCATTTAACGTCTGAAGCGCATGCGTCGGCACATGTGTGCATGTACCCTACCCGGCCACATGTGCCGACGCATGCGCTTCAGACGTTAAATGCAGTAACGTATTAGAAACACACAAGCCCCTGTGGACATAAGTACGCGCGCACGTGTACACACACACACACTCTCTCTCTATCTTTTTCTCTTTAAAATAAAGAAGAGTAGGACATTAAAATAATTATTTACAGACACATTTATATATAATTTATATATAATTAAACATAAATTTTGTATTAGGCCAAAACTGTGCGCCCATAATATACGTAACTGATATACCATGCATGGCACATGCGCGGCCACGGTCGTATATATGTAAGACCGTGTGCGCGGCCTAGCTCGTGGAGGGGGAATCTGGCAGCACTGGTTGTAAGACCTGTATGTAAGACCGTGATCTGGGCGTTCTCAATTTTTCGCCATGTTTTTATGCGCACCAACAGTGTATCAACGGCTAAAAGTGCCTGGGCCCTTTTCAGGATCGTATCCAGGAAAGGCGCATACGAACTGGCGTACATTATTTATTGTAAATAGAAATGGCCTATGAAAGAAAATGTTCTAATGAAAGTAATTAATGTGATTACTTGCTCCAACGTATAAAAGTATTTACGCGTTATTCGTCAACACTGCGAATTTTTCAATGTCACACCGACTTTGCACTAACACACGTACAAAAATCCTGTGATTGGTCAGAATAAAAACATGTCGGATGCGCAGTACGGATCGGCGCGAAAGTGAAACAAAAGAGCGAGTGCCCATACTGGTTATACTCATAGACATATAAAAGCTAGACTGCTTATGAGGCAGTGGAACCCTAGGTGGGGGCATCCTCCTGAGGGAAAAGGACAACATGAATTTATTTGGGTATCTGTCTTCCTCTAGTGGACGTGATCTTAAGGCGATCACGTGATCACGCCCACGTGATCACGTACACTAGAAGAAGATAGATACCCAAATAAATTGGTGTTGTCCTTTTCCCTCAGGAGGACATCCCCCACTACCTCATAAGCAGTCTATCTTTTATATGGTCTAGTTTACATCGTGCACTTGATACGCGTATCAAATAGTGTATTTGAACTGATCAGCCAATGACCAAACGAATTTACTAGTTATTTACTATTTGTTACTATTTGATACGCGTATCAAGTGCACGATGTAAACTAGGTCTATGGCCTTGTTTACACCGATCGTTTGATACGCGTATGAGGTAATATATTCGTACTAAATTGATTTAGTCCAGCGGTGTAAACGATAGCGTACTGAACTGGTACGATACGCTTGCAAAAGGAGTATCGTACCAATTTAGTATGCGTATCAAGTAATTTTGTGTCGGTGTAAACTGTAGCGCATTAAATAATAATTATCGAAGGAACGTTACGGTTAGGTGAGATGAGGTTTTCTTCGAAAATCTTGACTTATTTTTAAAAGTCCGACTAAGCTTGTAAATAAACAACTGATAATATTTTCCGAATCCATCGCAATCTAAGGATCACCGATTTTCCAACCAAATTAAATATAATACGTTTCTGTATCAAACCTAACCTTAATGTACTTTTTTGCACACTTAATACACATGGTGTAAACGCAGTCGGATTTAACATTTGGTACGCATCATTTTGGTTCACGTATCAAATAATTTTACGGTGTAAACAAAGCCTATGTCTATGGTTATACTGTGGTATTATGGGGTGCATTCCGAGTTGCGCATGAAATGCATAGACTGCTTTACTGTTGCGCAGCACAGGAAATCGTTCCGTTTTGTCAATGCGCATGAAGCGCTTTTAGTATTCGGAACGATTTCCTGTGCAGTCTGCGCGCTAAGCACCTTGAAAATGGACGCCATGCAAACCATCAACAAACGATTTCCAAATGTAGCATTAAGACTATACCCAGTGAGAAGGCTGATGTCAAATCGACGTCGATCCGACGTCGATTCATTGAAAACAGATCGACATCGAAATTAACATCGAAAATTAGCCAATTTCGATCAAATTGTTTTAGCATTAATATAAATCGACATCGATTCAACATCGATTCATTGAAAACACATAGATATCGAGATTAAGAGACTACTATATCATATG